ATGTGAATACTCCCCTTTTATTAATTGCACTGTTACTTGTTCCTCAGTGCAGCAAACCTATTAACTTAGAGTGTGTACCCTAGCTAACTATCTCTGTGGACATCATTTTTGGGGAGTCAATATTCACTCATATAGTAAATAAAACTCCCTGCCTTTTATGGAATCCAAAGGTTTATTAATGTTCAGAGTGTGATTGTATTTATATATTTTCATTAAGAGCCTTCTGTTTTGTAATTGTTTTATCAATGGCTCCTTGTAGTGTACATGTTTGATATTTGTGTTAAGAAATGGGTTTATTGTTAATTGTATCTTATTGTGTTTGAGGTGCATGGGCCAAGCGAACCTACGACATATAGAACTGACACCTCCTTCCCATTTCGACTGCGGTTGAGGTTGGGGAGAGCGGATCAAATGGTAGCAGAGTGTGGTTCCGTATTTTCCATCTTGGGACGATCCCAGTTCTGAGCGTGGGTTCGCTTGACGACCGCTTTTGATTATGGTGTACTTTAGACGCTGTTGTTTGTTGCATGTACGCCACTGCCTCGGAGATCTACCACTGGCCGCGACAGGTTTTGGTGCAGCAGTGTAATGAATGGGGTATTGAAGCGAGCGGCTCTGTTGGTGAGTTACGTGAGCGCGTGTCAGCCTTTGTTAAACAAGGCAAGCATAGAACTTTGTGCAACATGGACGCTGCGAATGCCAGCATTCCGGTGGAAGATGAGGTATCTTGACAGGGTTCCTTTAGCCGGGGTGAGGAATTGGGCTCTCGTGTGGCAACGCTGGAAAATGATTCCTCCATACTGTTGGAATTATTGAAAAATGTGGAGTGTTTAGCGTCTGACGATCCGAAAGCTATTTGGAAATTTTTTTCCGACGTGCAAACTGTGTACGATCTTCACCTGCTTTCGGATAGGGCATTTATGGTCGGCCTGCTACCCCGAGTTAAGGGGAGTATGCTGACCTTTTTGGGAGAATGTATTGGGCGAGGAGATTCATGGGAGCAATGCAAGCTTGAGGTACTTGAGGAATAGTTCCCGTTTGTGATTAGGGAGAGGTTAGTCAGGGAATTAATTGTTGGCAGATTCCAAGGGCCCAGCGACCCTTTATGAACATTTATTGATGAGATTATTAAAGTTGCGGAATTTTTGAGGTATGCCGCCACTGAACAACAAGTTGTGGATCGCGTTTTAATGAACATGCACCCGAACATCTTGGCGCAGTCGGCATTCTTGGAATGCCCGCGATCCTACAAGGAGCTTTGGAAGTTGGTTGACTTGTGGAGGATAAAGTTGCCGTATTGGACGAATGGAGACGGGCAGAACAATTGTCCAGACTCCTGCTGGTGGAGGTAGTTTGACCTCCACCCAACTGCTTCAGGGTCAAGACCTCCTCCTAAGTGTTGGAGATGTAGTTGTATGGGGCACGTCCAAAGAGATTGTAGGGCGAATAGACAGCCTTCGGGAAACGGGTCGAGGCCCGGCGGCGACGTCGCCACGGGGCGCCCATAACAAACAGCTTTTTGAAAGTTCGATCCCTTGCCAAAATGGGTCCGTTGTGGGTGATGTTAGATTTTAAGGTGGGATTGATTCCCGCATTAGTAGATACGGGGGCACAATTTTCCTGTATTCGCCTTGATGTGGTGGAATTTTTGCTTCATTCCAGTGCGGGCGGTGAGTGAGTCCCGTGTGGTTTGTCCTGCATTCTGGCAAATGGCCAGACGTGTGAGGCGAAAAAAGCAGTTAAATTGCACATCAAGTTGTTGGAAAGTTCATGGAATCAGGAATTTAAGATCTTAAATTGTGGGCTGTTCCCAGTTATCCTGGGGCTTGATTTTTTAGGTCATACCCGTATGTCTATTGATCTCGGGACTCGAGAATATTGGTTTGAGTTTGCCCCGGAGCGTCGGGCGAAGTTTGAATTGGATGAAGTCCCAGAAACACCAGACCAAGGAAGGATAAAAGATTATTTACAGCGGATTTTGAGCGAGGCTGGGCAGGTCCAGACCTTGTCTTCGGTGTTCCCCAATGAAAACCCGTTGGAAAGTATGTTGATGGACTATCCGGTTTTGTTCTCGGGCAGGTTAGGTACTGCTAGGTGCGCACCGTATGAAATTGAACTTTTGGATCAGGTCCCTGTTTGCGCGGCTCCTTACTGGTATGCGCCGCCGAAATTGAAAATTCTGAAAGATTTAGTGCAAGATCTGCTGAAAAGGGGGTTATACGGCCTTGTAAATCCCCGTATGCCAGTCCAGCATTTTTGGTGCCCAAGGCGGGAGGTGAGTTTCGAATGGTAGTGGACTATCGTAGAGTCAATGCTAAGGTAGTGTTTGACTCGTATCCGTTACCTACGATAGACCAGGCTTTTCAACAGTTTGCTGGTTCGTTAATATTTTCCGTGTTGGACTTAAATTCCGCGTACTACCAGATTCCACTCTCTCACTCGAGCAGCCGGGTTACAGCATTCTGCACCCCTTTTGGGTTGTACGAATTTAATAAGTTGCCCATGGGAATTAGCGTGGGGTGCCAAGGATTGAGTCATGTGATCGACGAGTTATTTTCAGATCTGAAGGGAGAATACGTGTTCAATTTCATGGATGACCTAGTGGTCTATTCGTCGTCTATCGCCGAGCACGAGGGTCATCTTCGCGAAGTTTTTTGCCGTCTTCAGCAGGCTGGATTTACCTTGAATCAAAGATAAGATTACTCTCGGGGCTAGTGAGATTAAGTATTTGGGCCACTATGTGTCCTCACGTGGAGTGCGAGTTATTCCGGAGCGCATTGAGGCGATGAGAAAATTTCCGCGTCCTACGACGTTACGTGCTGTTCGTCGGTTTATCGGGATGGTCAGATTTTATGCTAGGTTTATTCCGGCGTTTTCCGAGAAAGCTGCCCCGTTGCATGCTTTGAAGAAAAAAGGGGTTCAGTTTGTGTGGGAACAGGAGCAGCAAGGAGCATTTGAGGCTCTCAAGAAGGCCTTGTGTGAGGCGCCAGTATTGCAAATCCCGACTTCGGTAAGGAATTTGTTTTGGTGACTGATGCTAGTGACTCAAGAGTTTCTGCGGTGTTAAATCAGAGAGTAAATGGGCAATTAGCTCCTATCTCGTTTTATAGTAGACTTTTGTCCTCTGCTGAAAAATGCTACAATACTTAGAAAGAATGTTTGGCAGTGTTATTCGGTTGTGAAAAGTGTAGGAGTTACCTTGAGCATAAGGAATTTGAGTTACAGTGTGATAATCTGGCTTTGGTTTGGCTCCTTAGAAGGGTTAAAGATGTAGGTCGGCTAGGCTGGTGGATATTGCGACTAGTGCACTTTAAGTTTAGAGTCACACATACTCGGGGAGCTGATAATGTGGTGACCGATGGGTTATCTCATATGTTTGAAGGACGGGAGGCCGTTGAACCGGAAGCGAGTTACATTGCTGTGTTGCAAGGGTTGCCCCTAGTGTATTCTTCCCTTGCGGAACACCAGAAGCAGGATCCCTTTTGTTTGGATTTCCTTGAGAATGGGAAAAAGGGTGAGTTGGTCGGAGGGAACTTTCGGGTAGACCGAGATCTCCTTTGCTATCAACCGAGAGGAGTTAAGCGAAGGCGTTATTGTATCCCTCCTCCGTTACGAACGATGTTGGTCAAATATTTTCATGATTCTCCGCTTTCGGGACATCTTGGTGCCTTTAAGACTTTAAAGAAGATCGCGTATAATTTCTATTCGCCCAAGATGAGGAATGAGGTGTTTATCTATGTCCAGACTTGTGATTTGTGTCAGCGAGTGAAGGCCACTCAGAATACTCTGATTGGTTTTCATTCGGCAATCCCATTATCTCGGCCGTTGGAGAGAGTCTTCATTGATTTTATGGGTCCGATGGTTAGAACCAAATGAGGAAATCAAGCTATTTTGGTCGTGGTAGATGGATTTTATAAGTTTGTTGCTTTTTACCCGGTTCGGAATAGTAACGCGAAAACGGTTAGCGACGTTTTGGAACGTCGGTACTTTCCGGCTTATGGTATCCCCGCCTCAGTGGTATCGGACAATGCTAAAGTTTTCCGATCTAAAGTTTTTTGTGATTTGTGTTTTAAGTGGGGAATTAAGCGAATAAACACGACACCTTATTGTCCTCAGGGATCACTGGCAGAAAGAGTTAACCGTAACCTCAAGGCTGCATTGAAAATCTTTCATCATAGCTCCCAGAAGTTGTGGGATGAAGATCTTCCCTCTGAGTTTGGCATTTAATACTGCCGTCCATGAGAGTACCCAATTTACCCCGGCTAAATTATTTTTGGGACGAGATATTAAATCACCTTTAGAAGTGAATTGGAATTTGAGCCCTGAGCTACATGAAGAAGGTCATTCCAATGAGTCATTTTGGACTCAAGCTTATGAAAATTTGAAAGCAGCGAATCGCCGGGTTGCACGAAGGTTCAATGAAGGACACATTGCGAATTCATTTAAGCTTGGAGATACTGTTGTGTATCGGATGAATTTAATGAGTAATAGAGTCCGCGAAACTTCTGCCAAATTACTGCTGAAATGGTCAAAGCCAGTGGTAATTGCAAAATTTTTGTATTGTTAGCTAATCCAGATACTGGGGTCATTGTAAGGAAAGCTCATGTTTGTCAACTAAAAAGATACAGGGCATAATTTTATGTATTCTTGTTATATGAGCTGTGTCTGGTGAGAATCAGGTTTGGAGGTGTATATTTGCATCTGTCTCTGGCCTTCCCCTCGCGCATGGCCACGCACAGCCTTTTGTTTCGTTGATTTCTTCTGGATGCGCCATTGGTGGATGGAGCTCCACGACCGGCGATCTTGTGGAGAAGAGGATTATCTTCGCCTGACCACGAAAGCGGACCCTGTTTGGTGGGCCGCTATAAGGTAGCCCCTCTCTCCATCAACGGTGAACGAAAGCCACTGAGACTGTGGGGTCTCTCATGAGAACACGTAGGACAGTACCTAGTGGAACTGCAATCCCCCGGAGAAGTTGATGGGCGTCGCTAGACAGCAGTTTCTGACCCTGCCAAGTGGTTTGGTGCCTGGCAGAAACCTTGTCAATGGTGTAACTATCCGCTGAGACAGTGGGGTATCTTAGGGGGACGCCTAGGGGGCCGTGCCGAGCGGAATGGACGAGGGTGTGGTTCGCGAAACACGTGTGCCGGGCGATCTTGTGGAGCGAAAGCCACTGAGAGGTTCCTGAAACTCGGTACTGAGAAACGTGCATGAGGTGGTGTTCGCATATGGACAGTGGACCTGATATTTGGTGGAAGAGAGGGTGGCAAAAACCCTGGTCAAAAACTTGTTTTGACCGCTGCACGGGTGGATATTTGAGCCAAGCTACAGCTGGCTCTGGTGTTTCAGACGGCGGACTGTGTGCATGCGTGCGGGGAAGTTAAGCTCGTTGGAGGGGGAACTGGTGCAGACCAAGCTTGCTCGCCAGAACACAGAAGAAAGGAGTTAGACACTCTATCTCTTGTTGTCTGTAGCTACAGGCCGGTCGGCAACGTCTCTCCAGCTGGGCACACCCTGCGACGTGACATCAGGTTGTATGTGTTTTATTGTAGTAGCTGCCCATCCTGTTTGTTACCGAATTGTTTGTTGGAGGACGGGGGCCGCTACTGATTTGTTGAGTTATTTTGGTTTTCATCTTTATGCAGTTTACCAAAGACCATTTCATAGTTAATAATTGTTTGTATTTCTGAACAAGGAAATATGGGGAGAAAGATTATTTCACTTATCATACATGAATTTTTTATTTCTGGTTTGTCAAGTTTATGGTTTCCTACCAGTGATCCATTTGTCTGAACATCAAAACAGCATAGTCTCAGTGATACATAAATGTTATTCATGTTATGTGATTCTTAGGTGGAAACAAGGATTTATGTATATAGCAACTGCTAACATGAAACTCAAGAGTGTAAAATAAAACTCTTCTGAGCTATTTTCTTCCACAAAAATTAATTACTCTTACTGACTGCTTAGATACATGAAGCAAAAGCCTAGTAGCATAATGGTGATTATGTCACTTGGCCTGTATCTTTAATGTAAACAACACATTAAAAATATAGTTTGTAACATTCTCACATCATATCTGTAAACAGTAAACTGATAAAGAAAAGCTTTTTTTTTAGTTTTCTGTGGCTGTGGACTGGTGTGTAGGAAGTGAAGTGGAGGAAAATGCAGACAAGTCAAATTTAAATTTTGTGTACGAGGTCTGTTCAAAATGTATTGGACCTTAATTTTTCCCACGGAAACAAATGAAGCACGGGAGGTGTCCTCCGGGGGGGGACCTTCATGTGCATGCGTGAATTTTTTCCCGCCTGCAGAGAGCGTCAGTCAGCCGCATGGTAAGATTTTGTAAAATTTATTTAATATAAGTACCAGTAATCTGCCACAGTGGTCTAGCAGTCAGAACACTAGCCTTGTAAGCCTGGGGTCCCGGGTTCAATTCCCGGTGGTGCTCATATTTATAACTTGTGTTGGGCAAGGCCGTGGTCTAGGCAACACGGAGTTTTCCATCGGGGGCTTCCCCAGTTTCTCCGTGGCATCCCAACAATTACTCCACTCACAGACACAGAAGAAGGCAATGGCAAACCACTTCTGGATCATCTGGCAAGAATGTATATATGTATGATCAGGTCCCTGACAACCTGAAGAGGTTGGTAGGATCCTGTTCATAATATATGGACCTGTCATCAGACAGAACACTAAAATAAAAAAAAAGTACCAGTATTTTTGTTCAGATTATTTTTTTTTCTCTTTTAAAAGCTGTACTGAAACACCATCTTCTGATCCTCAGGCATCTAAAGCCATCAGTATGGAGTAACAGGCTGCAGATGTTGGAGGACCATACTCGGCTTCAGTATAATTGTGCCATATATAACAGGTAAATAATATTTTATACAGAATGTTGCACTTTGTTATGGTGACACAGTGAGGGTGTGAGAACAGATTAAAATTTGTGGATGACCACACCAATAATCTGCTTTGCTCTCGAACACCTCTACAACATCCAGGCTTGAGACTGCAGCTATGTAGTAATCTGTGCTACGCAGTCAGTCCCTTAGTTGTAAAGGCCATGGAGGCTACAGGCAACATGAATAAATTGGTTATATGGGCTGAAGTGATTCAGAACAAATGTTGTTGGATTCTAATAATTACTGTTAAAATTCTCTAGATGATTTTGTGCTAATTGGCACATGAGTAATAATGGTAATGAAGGTATTAGAAATAAAAATTTCCAGTAATAATAATAATTTATTTACATTCCATGAATCCATAAGACAGTCAGATGACGATAGGATGTGGAAAGTCATAATAAAAATAATAATAATAATAATAATACAATACATATTGTAAAATACAATTCGTACTATTATATAAATTTCACATAATACAAAAAGTATTCACCTAGAGAAATGGTAAGCTACAAATAGATCTACCCATTACACACAAGAAAAATTTATCACTTATTTGTAAACAACATAAATTCATTGACAGAGTAAAAGGAGTGTGTATTTAAGTATCTTTTTAATGCTACCTTAAATTGCTCCTTCTTATTTACAAGACTTGTGAGATTTGATGGTAGACTGTTGAAAATTTTGATTCCTGCATAATATGCACTCTTCTGAAAGCATGAGAGGTTGGCAACTGGTCTATGAAGCTGATTTTTATTCCTTGTGTTGACACGGTGTATAGCAGAATTAGTTTGAAAGAGTTCTTGGTTATTTACAATAAAGTTCATTAACGAGAAAATGTATTTACAAGGTAGAGCTAAGATCTCTAATTTCTTAAATAGACTTATACATGAATTTCTAGGTTTTACCCCAGCCATTAATCTAACAATTTTCTTTTGTAAAGTGAATATCTTTTTGAAGTTTGATGAATTTCCCCCCAAAATTATTCCATACTTCATTAGAGTGAAAATAGGCAAAATATACTGATCTGAGTGTCAGTGTTGCTGACATGCTCCACTTAACTTAGGGGTCAGTTTATCAATACGATTTGTCCAATTCAGGTGATTATCAATTTGCAAAACCCAGAAAATTTGTATTTAATGACTCTTGTATATACCTTCCATTATAACCAATAATTAAAGCAAGTTTAGGTGAGTTATTTGTTAGAAATTTTAAGCTGAATTACACAAATTTCTATAGCCTTATTTAGTTTAATGTTAATCCACAAACAGAACTACTTCATAAGATAGTGTAGTTGCGTCATATTGTGACTTATTAATTAAAATTAATTATTTAGTTTTCCATCAAATCACAATGTATTTAAAATAAGATAATTAAAATAATTAAAATATCATTCTGTGTTCCGTATCGAATAATCGCTTTACAATTGGAACAGTTACAACATGTTTCGGTTTTATTAAACCATCATCAGGTGTAAAATTATATTAAATTTAAAACTCAATTACAATTTTTTCTTTCTTTCGTAGTGTAGTTTTTTGGAGGTCGTGTCCAGATATTTTCATATAATGGATCAACTTTATTGTTTGAAGTGATGCATTTGATGTTTACATCAGTCAGAGATGAACTGATGTAAACATTGTCTGGAGGAGATCCAGTTACACAGTAACAAACCTTGTTCAGATACGGTAATACTTCCGGATCTCCTCCAGACACAACTGCGTTGTCTTGTTCATCTCTGACTGATGTAAACATCAAATTCATGATTTGACGGAAAATCAAATAATTAATTTTAAGAACTATTTCAATTAATGACAATCACAGCAAATAACCAAAAGTAACCCCAATTCAGTTACACTTCACTCACGTATTTCCACAAAGAAAACGGAAAGGAGTTCGATCATAACCTGATGAGTTTTTTGACTTGAGGGACTGTATTACACTTTTCACCTCAGTTTCAGTGGTTGGAATGATATTAAGGCCAGAAAATTTTGCAGGAAATGTAGCTTTTAAGATGGAAACAGCATCTTCTGTCCCAGTTTGATTTAAATTTAAGCTTTCAGTAATTGTTAGAAAAAACTTATTGAAGGCATTAGCCACTTTTCCAGTGGGATGGTATGTCAGATATTGTGGATTTGTGCTGCAGGGTGTGGCAGAGGATACATTAAAATGCTGAAAGAATTTTAACTACTTTTATTCTTTGTGTAGAAAAATTCATAACAATAATAAACAAAATACATGAAATCACAGGATACCTGCATGTGTTGAACCAAAGGTCATTGCAGTAGTGGAAACCATGTTTTGTGTAATTAGAAATTAAGTCTGAATTCAATGCACTGTAACAAGATTACAACAATTATTATTTAAAGGAAGATGATTTATAAATTAAAAAAGATATATTTTAAATGTAGGCAGCTAGTCAAACAAACAATCAATATTGCTTGTTCTCCCTATGCTGCCACGATACAGGTCCGTGTGGAGGACCCAGCTACATGGCCATGTGAGTGGAGTGAAACAAGTGGATGGAAAGGTGCACATGGCTGGTCTCTGTGATGAATGGACATCTGCAGAGGTTTGCCTCAGAATAATTATAGTATGCTGTTCT